GAGACAATATATGTGAAGTGCCTGAAAACAGTATTTCAAGAAAAGTCAGGAAAGAGAAAGGCAGAGAAAAAAGATTTACTCTTCCTGATGTGAAATTGTACTGTGCCTATCCCTGTTCGCTTTCAGAGAGCAACAAGACAAAAAGATAAGCCACAGTGTTATTTCATTTTTAGATGGGCAGTTTAACTACCCATGTCCCCAAGATGGAACAGTACCAATCTCAAACTAATTTTTCTAACTAGGCTCAGATGTCTGGCAAAGAACTAGGAGGCAGTATGACTGGCAAAGTTAAGAGAAGGAGGAAAGAAAGGAAAACAGAAGCAGAGATAATGGGAAAGCAAATCCTGTAAGGACCTGCAGGCCATTGCAGGGATTTTGGTTTTATAGTAAGATACAAAGTCTTTGGGTTTGAAAAGAGGAGGGGCAAGATCTGACTAACTTTTAATAGGACCACTCTGGCTTCGGTATGGATGGTAGACCCTTAAGGAGAAGGTAAATATAGGATGGCCAGGTGGGAGACTATTGCAAAAATTTACATCAAGATGATGTTGGCTTGGTGTCCGTGAAGGTGGTGAGAAGTGATCAAATTCTGGATATACTCTGAAGGTAAAGGCAACAGAATATGCTGCTGGACTGGAATGGGAATGGAAAGAAAAAGAGAAGTAGACAAAGACTCCAAGGATTTTGTTTGATGCACTGGAAGGATGGAAGAGCCATCAACTGAGATGGAGAAGACTTTGGAGGAGTTCGGGAGAAAAGACCAGGGCTTCGGTTTTAGACCAGTTAAATTTGAGCTACCTATTAGACATCCAAATAGAGATACTGATCAGAGATAGGATGTGTCAGCCCGGAGTTCAGGGGAGAGGCACACTGGCAAAAGATACCTGTATTTCTTTGAATCTAAGATGACTTAATGCTGCTACTTTCTTGATCTTTTTCAGGAACTGTCAAAAGAAAACTTCGCACAGAACTGCCACCTCGCTGACAGTGACAGATGCCACCTGTTTCTAAAACATACTCTCTCAACTTAGGCACAACTTTGGGTCAGATAATTCTTTGTTGTGGTGGCTAACCTGTGCATTGGAGGGTTTTACCAGTACCCTTAGCCTCTACCCACTAGATGTCAGTAGCACCCTTTAATCAGTGACAACCACAAATGTCTCCAGACACTGCTAAATGTCCTTTGGGGGGGCGAAATAGCTCCCAGTTGAGAACCATTGTTTTAGAGGAATTAAAATGTGGGGAAAAGGTGTGTCTTAGATAAATGAAATAGGGTATTAAAATGCGGGAGTTGTCAGTGCTTAAGCTCACAAGAGTGGATACAGATAGAAATGGAGTCAGGACTGTACCTTGGGGCACTCCAATGTCAAGAGACTGCAGACAGGAAAAGGAGATTATGTTAGATATGGCTGAGTGGTAACCATCTTAGTAGGCCCAAGGAAAGCTGAATGTTAAAGCCAGCACTGGAGAAAAGCAGAGGGGCACCCCAATGTACATCATATAACCTCAAAAGTCTCCAGAAGCAATAGAAGTGATGGTGGGAATGAAAGCAGAAGGACTGACTGGTTGAAAGCATACTTAAGCAGTTGATTAACAGATTCCTTCCTTTACTCACAGACCAACAGTGGTCTCAGGTTCAGACTGACAGTCACTCACAGGACCCAAAAGACCACAGGTTGGCACCAAGTTCACTTAGTTCTACAGAAAGACAAAGTGTGCTAGCATGAGACATGTTATCTTTAAAAAGGATCTACATAGGCCACCAGGAGCCTTTTCTGGACCCACCATTCTAAGGGACAGAAATCATGTAGGTAAGTACAGAAATCACCCTGGCTTAGGGAAACTTCATATTCCACAGGAACCAGCAGTCCATTTTAACAGCCAATGAGTGTAGGTTCCAGGAACCCTCAAGGGATGTATTTATGTTCACTTACAAAACTGATAAACTTCACACCAGGAAACAAAGGTCCGTGTCTATTCATAGGCTTCTAAGTTCACTCACAGTCTTCCTGGTCCATATGCACTCACTAATCAGGGGTCAGTTTATAGTAAACAATATTACCTGGAAACATTCTATATTTATTAGTCAAGTTTCTACTAAAAAAAAAAAAAAAAAAATGCCAGGAGAAGGAAAACACCCACAATCATTTCCCATGAAGAAAAGGGGTTCAGACTTGCTAATAATCCTTTCTGTTTTAAAGCAGTGATTCTCAGAGCGGGGACTTTCGCCTTACAGGGAACATAGAGCAATGTCTAGAGACATTTCTGGTTGTCACAACTGAGGGAGGCATGTGTCCTACTGGCATTTGTGGATAGGATAGGTGCCAGTGATGCTGCTAAGTTTCCTACAATACATAAGACAGCTCCCACAACAAAGAATTATTTGGCCAAAATGTTAGTAGTCAATGTTGAGAAATCCTGACCTAAAAGGATTAGATGGAAGTTCACATACTCAACACTGAGGACCACCTGACATTGCAAGCCTTCTTTCCCAAATGGGCTGCTAAAGCACTCACAGCCGACATACGCCCTCTATGTAGGAGAATGAAAGAACCATCTTCTCTGGAGAAGCTCACACACCTGAGAGAAAAGACTTAAGAATGATACTAGAGCAAAGACTATGAAAGAGCAAAGAATTTTAAGATGATATTAATAAACACTGATTTTGTTTGAACTAAGAGAATCAACTGGGGGAAAGTCTGGAGTTGAAACAGTGATAAACATACAAAAAAAACTATTTTTAAATCTCAAGGCAACTACTAATTCCAGGTAAGCAAAATGTAATGGCCCAGAAAGAAAATGTAATAAAAGCATATAGTTTAGCACCAAACTGCATGTACATAGTCATGGTAATATAAAAACTGAACAGTAACCAACCAAAATATACTGGGAGGATAGGGGAGCATGAGAGAAGAAGGGAGAGGAGTTGTCTAAATCCTAATCTTCCAGAGTGAGAAGTCAGTAGATAACACATACAACGGAAAAATATAAAGAAACAGCAATATAAATATAGATTTAATGACACAGAGGTAAATACCCTGAGAATCAGCTAAAAGAGTAGAAAGTTTTGGCCTCTGAGAGGATATGGCATGTGTGTGCACATGTGTAGCAAAATTTTCTGTAACAAGTCTCACAGAACTATTTGACTCTTTAAACTCCACATATGCAAAAGTAATTAAAATATTTTTTAGAGATTGTATTTGAGTGTAGGGACAATTTGATACACGGGTTTGGGATCTAGTAAGCCTCAATTGTTTTTCTTGATTTGAAGAACAGACCAAATCCATAAAAAAGTATGCCAAACCAAGTTTCAGGTTTGGTTAAACCACTTTTCTACTCATCCAGGCAAGACACAAGAACAGGACGGACAGAGAAGACTTTAACTCCTTTCCTGCTTTATTCCTAGTTTACTCACCAAACTTTATATTGAAGTCTTACACTAACCATTGTATTATTGAACACTGGTATCTTTGCCCATGAATACCACTAGGTCACATCCAAAGAATTTGCTGGGAGAGGACTTTTCACTTTTTACTTTGTTTTTATTGTGTGAGTATATTTTTACAGATGAGACACACATAAAGATCCTTAATGATTAGTTTAACCTGACCTCACGCATCCTGACCCAACTCAGAATAATCTGATTAGAAAGAAGGAATATCAACATATAAAACACAGAATAACCAAGAAAGTGCATCCTTAATAAAATATTGCTCATATCCCAACAGATAAATCTAAAAGACATAAATGATACATACTACAGAGCTGGTGCTAAATATAATCCCTAGGTATCATAAGACAAATAAATTTTTGAGTTCTCTACAGAATATATACCACATGAGCTTCATTTTAAATAAGTGAAAATTTACTTTTAGATTGATATACTTTTTCTTTACAAGCAATTAAACTCAAATTTATCTCTATTATGCTTCACAGTGCCCAGAACAAACTGGGTACATTATTAGGTACAAAAAGTTACTGACTGATGGAAATTAATCTATGAATTAAATCAATGGGGAAAAATTAATAATGTTGCATAATAGATGTAAATTTTAAATTTCTCTGTAATTCTTTAAACCTTGTTTTACAAGATTTTACCTTAGTAATGATTACGCATAAACAGATTATTTTACCCTGTGGTAGAGAGGACTGTAAACATAAACTGAACAGAAGGCTGGCTTTATTTTACCCACATTGATCTTTCTTGCTGCTACCCTGTTAACAATACTGCCTTCTTCTTGACAAAAATATTCAATAAAGAATTTACCTACACCAAACTCAGCTTTTGCTAAACTTATTTTAACAAAAATTTCTTCCTTGCCCTCACCCCATCACATCCAGAAGAACTTTGTCCTTTAAAGATCTGTTCACATATATTATCACTTTTGATTATCTGAACCACCATATGAGGATTAGACCATGTACTATTAGCTCCATTTTACTTCTGAGAAACTGATGTTCACAGAGGCTGAATAACTCATTTAAGGTCCTATGGGTAGTGAGTGGCAAAGGGAACACCACTTGGAACCCAGTTTTCTGATTCCAAGCCCAAGGGCTCTTTCCACTACAGTACACTGACTCTTTGATAATAAAATAGAATCTTGGAGGACTATAGCAGTGGTAGGCATCTTTTTCTTAAGTTGTTGTTTTATAATAAACATACATTAAACAGCAATTACTATTATAACAATTATAAGAGGTTTGTAAAATGTCATCAAGTATAAACCACACTTCAAGTTTTTTAATCATGTGAAACTCGTATTAATTCAAGGGCTTCAAATAGCCTAAGAATAAAATGAAGAAACTCTCTTAATCATTGTGACATTGCTATATCTGGTAATATATTCCTTCTGTAGTGATTTTAAAACTTAGCTCAGAAGGATCCTGACAAATTTTAAATGTAGAAAAAATAAGAAAGTTAATTAAGACTACATTTTAAAAATACCATTTCCTCCTTTTTAAAATACTAAAATAGCAGGAAAAAAGTTCCATCTACTTACCTCAGTAATTGGCTGCCCCTGATGTGTCAAATCCAGTTCTTGAGGGCGTGTTACTTTATCAATATCCAAAGAGTCCATGCTGGAGGTTGCAGAGGTGATGCTGGAACGAGAGGAGTTACTAATAGAGCGCACTTCAGCATCGCTCAATGTGCCTGCTGATGCTGTTCTTCTGTGCTGATTAGTTACTGAGGGCTTAGTATCCTCTAGTACAGATTGCTGAGCAGCCTCATCCATGCTCAAGGAAGCCTGTTCTAACTGTGCAGTGATGTCATCCAGGGAGTAGTTGGCATGTGATGGTTTAGTTATCCTGTTAGATGAAGACAATCCTTTCAAAGTGCCATGTTTTGATGTATGTCGGCTGGCAGGTAATTTCTGAGTGGGTTTTGTTTCTGTGATTTGACGCTTACTATTTCCTGCACCAATACTGCTGAGCTCCTGCTCTATGGAGCAAAGATCGGCCATCAGGGCATCCAGATCCACAGTTTCTCCCTGATTCAGAGCTTCTGCAATGAACAATACATACATGACGTTTCCAGGATAGACTGAATCAGAATTTACACATTCTATTATAAATCTGTCAATGAATGAAGGGGTAAGAAGCAAAGAAATTTATCCTATTGGGCCTAAAGCCTATTGAATATATTATTTCTAAGAATTTTTTGTTTTAAATTCACAGAGAAATTTTTAGAAGCAACTAGTCCATCTTTTAAGATTTGTAGTAATCAGTGGAGAATAAAATTATGAGTTGAAAGATTAAAAATAATGCAAAAATCATATACTGTCCTATAGTTTTAACCACATCCCCCATGCAACTTTTCACCACAGGCTCTATATTATTAATATGATCAGTGCCATGGTAGAGTTGTTAATACTTAAAGAGCTGAGAGCATAGAGAGAAAAAAATGCAAAGCCTAAAAAATTACAGATTATGATGTCAATTCCAAATATTAGAAAGTTCATTAGGTAGAATACAATAAATAAAGGCCAGAGGGGCTGATTTAAAACTAATTAACAAGTAATTTCACTGGACTTTATTCCAATGAAAATACAACAGTGCAAGTAGGTTTGTCATGAAGTACCACTTGAGTATGTACTTTGTCAATTATTAGTATCTAGAAAACTATTTTAGTTATGTTCCAGTTCAGTTTTTTTCTGTGATCATTTGAATTAGTAATAAAATGCACAAACCAAGAAATAGAAGAACTCACTCAAGTTATGCATGTAGTTTTTATATTGAGCTACTTGGAACTGTAGCTGCATTGCTTCTGCATTATATAATTTAGTATACTAAATATATATTTAGTATACTATCTTACATTTTACTTCCAATTACATCTTACCATTCAAGTTGTATATGGAGAAGCGGTAAGAAAAATTGGCCATATTTGTTTCCTGACGAAGAGGAGATCTTTTTACTGGTTCCACGGGCTTGTCAGAATCCAAACTCTAAAGAAAGTTTAATAAGTCATATTATTTTTAGGCTTCAATTATAAAAAAGATAAAGCTTGTTATTTGATGAGGTGAACTGTCATATAATAGTTAATAAAACCAAAGTCCTTCTAGTTTTAAGGACAAGTAAAATGATGGTTTTATTGGTTATAGTTTTATTATTTTGGTTATAGTTTTTCAATTTTTAGATAATATGCTTATTACTTAAGGCATTTAAGACCATCCTAGTTTGGATTGAATGTCTTTCCAAATACATCAAGTATAGTGACTGAGCTCATTTTACATAAATTCACTATTAGCTAAATATATGAATATGGGCAAGGTAAGATTCTGTTATCTCTTTCCTCAGAGGGATTTGTTTTTGGTCTAGCATAGTCTCATTCTTGGCATGAAGTACCCTGAAGATAAGGCATAATTCTGGACTCAAAATGTGTAGATCCAAAAAAAAAAAAAAAAAATGTGTAGATCCAAGATCAGTTTTTTTCTTTGTATTTATGTATTTTATTAAAATTTTTTTTATCTTAATTCTAGTTAATTTATACTACTATATTAATTTCAGGTGTACAATACACTGATTCCACAATTCTATACATTATTCAGTGCTCATACCATTCCCCCTGCCTTCTGTTAACCATCAATTTGTTCTCTATAGTTTACAGCCTGTTTTTTGGTGTTTTTTTTGTTTTGTTTTGTTTTGTTTTTGGCTTTCTTTAACGATATACTTGGATCCCTTTCTCTCTCTTTTTTTTTTTTCAGATTTTATTTATTTATTTGACAGAGAGAAAGACAGCACAAGCAGGGGGAGCTGCAGGCAGAGGGAGAGGGAGAAGGAGGCTCCTCGCTGAGCAAGGAGCCTGATGCGGGGCTCAATCCCAGGACCCTGGGATCGTGACCTGAGCTGAAGGCAGATGCTAAACTGACTGAGACACCCAGGTGCCTGCCCTGGATCCCTTTCTTTTTATTCTTTGCCTACCTATTACTGGTTTTTAATTTGTATATTAGGTTTGTATATAACATCTGCATATAGCAGTCTATTTTAAGTTGATGGTCACTTAAGTTTGAACCCACTCTTTACTTCTTTCCCCCTCATGATTTAGGTATATGGTGCCATACTTTACATCCTTTTACTTTGTGAATCCCTTGATTGATTTTTAGAAATATACTTATTTTACTGCTTTTGTGTTTCCTACTTTTCTTACTCTTATTTATGGTTTTCCACTCAGAGAGTCCCCTTTAATATTTCTTACAGGCCTGCTTAATGGTCATGAATTCCTTTAACTTTTGTCTGGGCAACTCTTTATCTCCCCTTCTATTCTGAATGACAGCCTTGCTGGATAGAGTATTCTTGGTTGTGGGTTTTTTTCTTTCAGCACTTTGAACATATCATGCCACTCCCTTCTGGCCTACAAAGTTTCCACTGAAAAATCAGATGACAGCTTATGGGGTTTCCCTTGCTTGCAACTGTTTTCTCTTGCTGCTTTTCAAATTCTGTCTTTATCGCTACTTTTTGCAATTTTAATTACTATGTATCTTGGTGTGGACCTCCTTGGATTAACTTTGTTGGGGCTCTTTGTGCCTCCTAGACTGGATTTTGTTTCCTTCCCCAGATTTTAAAAGTTTTCAGCTATTATTTCTTCAAATAAGTTTTCTGCCCCCCTTTCTCTTCTTCTGGGATCCCTAAAATGCAATGTTACTATACTTGATGGTGTCACTGAGTTCCCGAAGTCTATTTTCATTTTGTATTATTACTTTTTCTCTCTTCTATTCAGCTTGATTGATTTCTATTATTCTGTCCTCCAGGTAACTGATCTGTTCTACTGCTTCTAGTCTACTATTTATTCCATATATCTTACATTTCAGTTATTGGATTCTTCATCTCTGATTGGTTTTTATTTTTTCTATCTCTTTGTTGAGGATCTCACTGAGATCCTCCATTCTTTTCTCAAGTCCAGTGAGTATCTCTATGACCACTGCTTTAAACTCTCTATCAGTCATATTATTTACCTGTTTTATTTAGCTCTCTTGCTGTGACTGTGTCCTGTTCCAACCCCACTGATTGTTAAAGTTCCAGGTGTTAAGTCCCACTGACTGTAAGAACAAAGGGAAATTCAGCCCTGCTAGTTTTCAAAGCCAAATGTTATGGGGATACACCTTCCCCATGCAGGCTCCCTTGTCTGAGTCTGTTTCTCTTCCCTCTCTGTGCCCAGGATGCCCCTCCTTCGTGTCTTTGTCCTTCCTCCTCTCTTGGATGTGGCTTCTTCTCTACATTTAGCTGTGGAAAGTTTGTTCTCCCAGTCTTTAGGTCATTTTCTGGGTTATTACATTGATGTGGGGATTATCTAGCTGTATTCATGAGATACAAAGTGAGGTGAGAATCCTCCTACTCTGCCAACTTCCCTGGAAGTCCCAAGACCCAAGATCTTAACAGAGAGTGGCTACAACTTCAGACAATGATGGAATATCCTTGTTCTTCTCAAGCTCTATTAAGATGAGGACAAACTGTAACCCAGCTGTGATACTGCCTATGATAAGTCTAGAATTATACTGTAGATTCAGGACAGAATATCTTGTAAGTTATCTCACTACCTTTTTAAATGACACTTTTCCTCTCTAACCTTTCTACAATAAGGAATATAAGATGCTTATAACAGAGAAATTCAGGGAAAAGGTCTGTAGTTGGTGTCTAAATAAATTTACAAATATTAAGAATAGCCTTTTAAAACTTTCATTTCTATTTATAATTATCAAATTGATTTCAAATAAAAAAGAATCCTGGATAGTCTGTAGAATCATCGAATTAGATTACATTGGTGCCTTCTTTATTCATTTGTCTCAAGATAAAAGGAATCCATTCAGATAGTGTCCAACCAGTTTTTGAAGCTATCATATGAAGGGGATCCACAATCATTCACTGCCTTTCTTCAAAGTTTCACAAAATAGGAAATTCTTCAACCTCAAATCCTGTTCTTCTGCTGCAATTTAAGTCCTAATGCTTCTCTCAGTGGAAATGAAAAATAATAGGTAGGTTTAATATTTTCTGTAAAATAACTTGAATATAATTGAGGACATATTAAGAGTCTATCTATTTACCAGTTCAAATAAACATACTTGTTATAATTATCTGCTGTGCCCACAGTGCTGGGGGAACAAAAGAAATAGTAAGAAATACCCCTTAACACCAAGAAATTGGTAACCTAGGTGGGTGGTTTTTAAACTTTTTTTGGTGGGGGGCAATTATCATGAGAATTTGGTAAAAGCTCTGAACCTTCTTCCAGGAAAATGTACACACACAAAAAAACTTTACAATGATTTTAAAAGATTCACCAACCACTTAAAATGTAAACTCAATTTAATATAAAGTTGAAAATCCCATTAACATGGTATGTGTGATATGGGTGGATGCACAGATGACACTTCGTAGTAAACTAAAATAACAAAACAAACAAACTTGAGGTTTTAGCCACTAATAAAGTACATAAAATATTTTTTGAAAACATATGAAGTGTTAAAAAGCAACTTGTTAGCAGTGAGCCACCATTACACAATGGTTAATCTGTTTTGTCTCTAAAGACAGATTTATACAACTTAAAAAAAAAACAAAAAACAGTCACAGCATTAGTTTATAAGCCAACATTTTTGGTGAGTGACTCTTCACATTATAAGGCAAGGAATTTAAAATACTGGGAAGAATATAAGTACCAAACCAGTAGAAAAGCCATCGGCAGTGAAATAGTGTAGAGTTACTATTCCATCTTTTTTAAACCTAAGATCCAATAAAACAAGATAAAAAAAGCTTTGCCATAGTTTTAAAATGCAGCCAGAAATGAAATTTTGTAAGTATTCTAGAATTATGTAATAGAAAATACTTGCATGTGAGGATATTACTTATGTTGTAAAATGTAGTAAATATTCACATTTATTAAGTTATGGAATAGGATTTGCTAGAATTTAGACTTTTAGATTTTGGGTTTTAAACCTTTTTAGCCAGCAGTCTCAGTTTACAAAACAGATTTTAAATAATCCCTCTAGAGGAACAGAATCTCTTGTCACAGGTATTTTTTTGTTTTTAGACTCCTTTAAATAACCACATAAGATAATACTTCATGTTCTAGAGTTACCATTCATTTACCTGTTAACGTTTTGGACATTTTTCCTTTACAGCAGTATTTAAAAATGGAACCTATATCCATATCCCTATGTGTACACAGTAAACTTTTAGCACACAGTGATGATTTAAAATCTTCGAACAATTTTTCAAGCCACTATTTCTGACCTGAGTGAGTTTGTCTAGCTCCCCTAGCCAGGCTCCAAACATTTTGTCCAGGTCCTGATCTTCCTTATCACTGTCTTCTTCAGCACCATGGTCAATTTCTTCATCTGATAACTGATCCATCTGAAATACAGACATTTGGGTAGAATGAAGTTTAACAGGTTAAACTTGAAAAATTATGCAGCACATGTATATTGTAACTCTCTGGAGTGAAACCTTCCAAACTAGAGATTATATTATGCAAGGAAATTAGAAGTCTTAATGGAGACAACGCTGACAAGTGAGTAGAAATGAGTAATTAAGTCTCAAATTTTTAGGAAATTGTGAAAGAAAAGAATGTATCAGATTTTGACCAGAATCGCAAGTAACAATAATTTTAAAATTGCAGAGCCCTCCCATTAATCAGAGGATATTATAGTAGTGCAGTTTTCTCCACTAACAGATCCTGTTAACACCCCAAAAACTACAAATAATTTCAAGACTTCAATCCAGCACATTATTATCTCACTTACTCTGTAACAATCTATTTACATACAAATAAGTATAACTTGCAAAACCTTAGTCCAAAAAGCACTTCAGAGAAAAGACAAAATTTTTAATCTAGTTTAGTCTGTTGAATTAGTTCCTCCTCTTATAGTGTTCTTTCTACCTTACTTTCTCATCAGTTCTGACAAAATCCAAGGAACCAGAACTGAAATAAACTTTAGAAAACCAGAATTGAAAACTTTAAATTCAAATACAAAATTTCCTATATGTGGTGACTTTTCAAGTATAAATCCTTGAAAGAAGAGATTATTTTCTTTCTTCTCATTAATAATGTGTTGTCTGACATGGAACCTGCATATTGTTTTGTGAAGGGAAGAAAAGATTACACAAAACAAAGTAAGATCAGTGAATGACCAGATACTTAAAGTTCTTAAAGTAAGATTAATCTGATTAATATATTTCAATATTAAAGACAATCCCTGAGAATCTTTTTTAAAATTCCAGTATAGTTAACAGACAGTATTATATTAGTTACAGGCATACAATGTAGTGATTCAACAATTCCATACATCACCCAGTGCTCATCATAACAAGTGCACTCCTTAATCCCCATCACCTCTTTCACCCATCCCCTCACCCACCTCCCCTCTGGTAACTATCAGTTTGTTCTCTATAGCTAAGAGTCTGTTTCTTGGTTTGTCTCTCTCTGAGAAATCTTTAGTAAAGCCTACCTTTGCTTAAACCAACATATTCCAAAGTAATCTGACCACAAATCCTTTCCCTTCAACTTGAAATAATACCTATTAACTTTCCCAAGGACACAATGAATATCATCATTCTACATTCCATGCTCTTGACTCACATTTCTGAAACACAAATTTTGTTCCAGTGGATCTAGGCAATATTTGGAATACTACCTGCCTATTGGTTTAAACAATTCCTCAGAGATTAAAGATATCCTTAACCTTAAATAAGAATTTGTACACATATTACACCTCCAAAGCAACAATCAACAAAAGTAATTGTGATCCTTAAAATGTGGTTATGAGCTATGTGAGGAATTTAATTATCTAACGGGATGTCATGAAGCTAAATGTTAAACCTTATTTTACTATATAAAATTTTGCAGAACGGGTCAAATAGTGTTGCAAAATCAATCTGAACTGGGACACTTAGGTGGCTCAGTTAGTTAAGCGTCTGCCTTTGGCTCAGGTCATGATCCTGGGGTCCTGGGATGAAGTCCCACATCGGGCTCCTTGCTCAGTGGGGAGCTTGCTTCTTCCTCTGCCTGTCACTCCCCCTGCTTGTGCTCTCTGTCTAACATATAAATAAAATCTTCAAAAAAAAAAAAAAATCAAACTGAACTTAATTCTAACGATATGGAAAATCAGATCATATCCCATTTAATCACTTAAGGGAAATAATTTTCTTAAACTTAATACTACAAAGGATCACAGTTTATTAATATCTCTAATGTAAAATGTTAATTTTCATTTCTTAATTTCTCTCTCAAAGCATGTATAAATCAGGGAATTCTCTTGACAGATGGAAAATATATCCACCAATTCCCCAAATCATACATTTGACTCTTAAAGAGATTTGGTTTTTATCATTCATTTGTGTTAATACTAGTTCTAGGATTTTTATTCATTAATGAACTATTTACAGAACTATCTCAATAGAAACCTGATATCATACTTCATTGTTCTACCCAGGAAAACAAAATGTTAGTACAAAAAAAACCCCCTCATCTGACCAGGTAACTTAATTACTCAAATCATAGTTGCTAGTTTGAGAATATCTAGGAGTAGGAATACCCAGTCTTCGTAATGAAGGCCAACAAACAACAGAACTGGGAATTTTAAAAGTCAACTTCCTCTTCCTCCCTAATCTTTAAAACTAAACACACTGGAATAACCCAGAAGCTAAAATATTCTAGGAGGAATTCTGCTTTGAGATAATGATACTTATGCCTGCACTTCCCTTCTGAGCACATATTATAATTGCCCATAAGGAAGTTATACTGGAAAGAATGAAATAGGAATATAATTTTGCATATAGTTTTTCAGAGCATAAGCAAAACAGTTCAAAATGAATGGGTTTTTTAAATTATTACGGTGCTAAAATGGAACTATAGACTCCACATCAAAGACTGCTGGGTTTTTTGAGCTTTTCCTATTCAAACCCAATAATTATTTGGATTTTTAAGTATCTCTTTAAATATTTTCATTAATAGTTTTATTTTATCTAGACTACTGCAGATCAAAGTAGAGGAAAATATGGCTAGGGAGTAATAACCGAGAGTCATAAAATAAATGGAAATTCTGAAGCAACTATTTGACTTTTACTATTTATGTAATCTTTGCCAATTTTTTCCATCCTTGAATTTGTCACCATGTGGGTTATTTTATAAAAATTAAGACACTTATGGGGCACCTGGGTGGCTCAGTTGGTTGAGCGACTGCCTTTGGCTCAGGTCACGATCCCAGAGTCCCGGGATCAAGTCCCGCATCAGTCTCCCTGCTCAGCAGGGAGTCTGCTTCTCCCTCTGACCCTCCCCCCTCTCATGTGCTCTCTCTCTCTCTCTCTCTCAAATTAAAAAAAAAAAAATCTTAAAAAAAAAATTAAGACACTTATTCAGAGACTTTTCCAAAAAACTTAGGTCCTACAACATTTCTAAACAGATCTACACCCTAAAACAGCATTCTTCCTTCTCTAGAAGCTGAAGTTGATCCTTATTCTCCTACACCCAGAAATGGCATCATTTCTGATTATTACACACACCAAATGAGAGCACCCCCCAAAATTTTCTTATAGGCTCTGTACTGTTAAAGTCAGCAAATCTGGTACAGAAATTCATCCTCTATTATATATTGATGCCTGTCTCCAATTGGATCACAATTCTAAATCTGAATTTCCCCAGCATAACGCCCCGACTAGAAATGACAACAGCAGAAACTGCAAATAAAATAATACAATAGTCAACTGTCCCTCCAAAGGGAAAAAAAAAATTAAGGAAAAGAAAATAGAACTTATGAATCTTATTTTTAAAATAATTTGGATTTAAAAGAATAGCTTCTAATGTGATGCTTTTCCTTAATAATGTGGAAATAGGCCCAAAGAAACTATAATACATACTAGACCAAATACTATTAAATTATTCTTTTACTTTTAGATTAGGTACTTTTGGAGGGGGGGGGGATATATTAAAGTTTCACTTTAATTCTCTGCTCCATTACATCTGAGGAAAACTATGTCCTGAAAGAATAAATGTACCCTAACACAAATGAAAAGGTTTATTCCCCAAAGGGCACACTTAATGAATATAGAATAAAATCCACGTCAGTGGCAGATCAAGAAAGCCCTGGGTGATCCCGGCCTTCAGGGACCTCTCTGATCTTTCGTCCCACTCTTCCTTCAAGCCACACTGTCCTGCCTATTGTTCCTTGGAGCAGGGTGGGAGTGGAGAGGGTGTAAATTCTGTTTTGAAGATAGACTGAGGGATGCCAGTAAATATCCAACTGGAAAAAAAATGAGGAAGGGTTATTAGGACTCAGGTAATGAGAAGGTTTAGTTAGCCTGATTATTTCAAAATCATATGTTTATTACAGAATAATCACAGATTGCAGGGAATAATGACTGAACTAATATTTTAAACTAATTTACATTTATTTTTTTCATAAAGTAAAAACAGAAATAAAGGTGGAATGATCCTCCACTGTTTATACGCTGGTTGGTTTCATTTCACACTAACATTCAATAATTGTGCTTCAATATTACAGGTTAAAGCTTACATATGGCGGGGTGCCTGGGTGGCTCATTCGGTTAAGCGTCTGCCTTAGGCTCAGGTCATGATCCCAGCATCCAGGGATTGTCCTGGGATGGAGCCCCCACATCAGGCTCCATGCTCAGCAGGGAGCCTGCTTCTCCCTCTCCCTCTGCCTGCCTGTCTGCCTACTTGTGATCTCTCTCTCTAATAAATGAATAAAATCTTTAAAAAAAAAAAAAGCTCCACTACATATAACAAAACTATCCATTTAGTATGCTTTAGTATGAAACAGTATTATTTCCACTATATATATATATTTTTTTAAGATTTTATTTATTTGACAGAGAGAGAGAGAGCGAGAGAGGGAACACAAGCAGGGGGAGTGGGAGAGGGAGAAGCAGGCTTCCTGCGGAGCAGGGAGCCCGATGCGGGGCTCGATCCCAGGACCCCGGTCTCATGACCTGAGCCGAAGGCAGACGCTTAACGACTGAGCCACCCAGGCGCCCTCCACTATATTTTCTATGAAGTTACTCATTCAAGCATATTTTCCCTATTAGTCTTCCTCTTGGGAGATATTTTGGTTTACTATTCACTTTCCTCACTGTGAGACAGAATGGTGACATTTATCAAGAAGGCTGGGCTTAGAGTATATATTCCAGGTAGGGGAAATTATAAAGAGCAAAGGAGAAAATCTGTGTTTATAAAACTGTCATGAGATTGACTCAAATAAGACAAGAGGAAAAAGTGAGATTTAAAAGTCAAGGACTAAGGTCATATAGATAACCTTGAAAGCCAAGTCTATTCTCTTCCCCAGAAGGCAACCATATTTTTAAACATAGAAGTGAAGGGGTAGGGAGAGAAATACTAT